GAGATGTGTGGCAGCAGGAAAGAATTTGCTTCAGGTTGGGGGGACTGGAGACAGGCCAGTCTTTACCTGCAGACAACTCCCTAACCTGAAGCAATCCAGCCCGCTTAATTAGCCTTCTTAACATGGGTCCTACAATTGACCAGTACTTCTTTTGCTGTTCTGTATTGTTTTCTGTTATTTCTACTCAACTCATCTGATGAAGTGGGTTATACCTATGACAGCTATATATTTTTATTAGTGTCTAAGGTGTCACAGGACTATTCATTGTTTTTAAAGTTACAGACTAACACAGCTAATCCTCCAAGGGAACGTCTACACTACATGGCGCCCCACATCTACACAAGCCACCCATTATTTCGAAATTTCAGCATCCCAGTATCTGACATGAAGTACTCTGTTGACGTAGGATGCTCCCCAGGATGTCTAACTAAAAGTTTGACTGAAGTTAGTAAGGTGCATGGGCAGGACCACAAAGGGTGAGAAAAACAGGAGACCAAAGGGGAAAAGGTTATACTGTCAATATATGACACATCCTTCCTGACCCTGTAGGTCACTCAAGCTTTCTTTCCTTCTCTGTATTTGGTGTCTTCTACTTTTTTCCACATTCACTCTGACTCTGTTCTGAAGGCCATCCTTTTAATTAACAAAGGAAAGTGTCCAATATGGTGCATACAGTGAAAAACAAACATTTTCATAACTCTGTTAGGTATTCCATCACATCCCCCTTCATCTGCCATCATCTCTCCTCAAGTCATTTACTTTCATATCTGTGACCGTAAGAGTTCCTGAATGCCAATTGGCAGAAGGCCCCCTGTAGTATCAGGTGACACTGGCCATTAATACCATTTTGAGGTGTGGATGGTGTATAGAGAATTATGTATTTGTGCTGAAAATATGTTTTGTTGAGGGGGGTTGATATGTAAGTTTGACATATCAGACAAAAAAATGTGGTTCTGCTTGTCTGCCCATGTCTCTAACGTAAATTGAACATGATGATGGCAAAGACAACGGGCAGTTCATTTGCATCTTAACACAAGTTATCAGGATGATGAGGTAACAGCATGGCATCAGCACACCACAGAATAAATGGCAGTCTAAACCCCAGCTAGTCATCCTGACTCTTGAGACAATGAATTTTTGGGAAGAGGGTGAAGCAAAAGGACATCCATCACTGAAGGAACAAAGAGATCAGTGCTCTTTGCTTTCCATGAATGTCTGATTCCCAACCATAAGTTGGTGTCACTAAGAAGTGGCTGTAGATGAGAGAACTGCCTTAGACAAGGATTGTAACCTGTTGAGATATTTTTATTGCCAGAAAAGTAATTATATTTTTGTTTTATTTGTAACCATTTTCAGTTTCTGTTTTGTCTTTGCTTACTATCACTTAACTCTGTGTTCTTATTAATAAGTTTATTGTTTTATTATTATTTCATCTCAGTGCTATTATACTAAATTGAGGGGTGCATTGTCAGCTGAGCCCACAGACTGGTGTATAATCTGTCTCTTTGGAGACAGCAGATTTGGAGACAGTCGATTTGGTATTTCTGTGGATGCTGCAGGGGGACACCGCAAACTAGAGTGATAGGGAACTGTCATATTGTATAGCACCAACAAATCCCTTGTGTACTAAGGCAGAAGAATAGCAGGGGGACTTACAGTTCAGGATGCTCTAATAAGGAAATGTCACATCTAATTTTGACTATAAGATCCCTGATTTGAAGACCAGATCTTCATTCTCTTTAAGTACCATGCAACCTTAGGGTGCTATAGGCAAATATTAAGTGATAATACTCTTATTTTATAGGCCCAGGAACTTCTTTGAAACTCCCTGGAACAAGTCATGGTGGAGGTCCCACTCCAGCTGTTAGGTATGCATTTCCTTATGTTTGGCAGCTTTAACTTGTACATATATTAAATTTAGGATCAGTACATTAATGTAACATAATTGAACAAATTACAGTACTTTAGGTGTAAATGTGCAGCAATTCTTTATTGCTAAATTGGTGGAAATAAAACTTCTACTCCAGAATGACTTGAGAAGAGCAAATATAGTTACCTGTCTTTAAAGGGGATTGGGGGAAGAAGCTGGGAATTATAGACCTTTCAGCCTAGCTCTGATACTGAGAAAGATACTGGAACAAGTTTAATAATTTATTTGTAAGCACTTATATAGGGTAATAAGAGGATAAGTAATATTTGTCAAAAATAAATCATGTCAAACCAATTTAATTTTTTCTTTATCTGGGTTACTGATCTAGAGTGGATTGGAGGAAGTAGTAAACATGACCTGTTGTTGATTTTAGTAGGGATTTTGACAGTCTCATGTGATATTCTCATAAGCACACTTCTAGATAAAGTAACTATAAGGTGGGTGAACAAATGGTTGAAAGACTGTACTCAAAGAATAATTACCAATGGTTTGCTGCTAAACTGAAAGGATATATGTATCTAGTGGAGTCCCACGGGTCTGTCCTCTGTTTGGTACTAGTCAATATTTTAATTAATGATGTGGCTAAAGGAATGGAGAGTATGCTTATAAAATATACAGGCTAAATCAAGCTCGGGAGGGGTTGCAAGTGCTCTGGAAGATTAGCATTCAAAACAACCTTGAGAAATTAGAGAATTGATCTCAGATCAACAAGATGAAATTCAGTAAAGACAAGTGTAATTGCTGTGCTTACAAAATAAAAATCAAATGTACAACTACAGTAGTACTGCTTTAAAGAATCAGGGGGCTATAATGGACCACAAATTGATTTTCAGCCAACAGTGGGATGTAGTTTTGTACAGTGTGATGTAACTTTGAAAAAGGTTAATGTCATTTGAGATGTATTAATTACCTCTTACGTGAGACATGGGAAGTAATTGTTCTACTTTGCTCAGCACCGGTGAGATTGTAACTGGAGTAGTGTATTCAGTTCTTGGCACCAAAATTTAAGCTGTGAACAAATTAGAGAAAGTCCACAGAAGAGCAACAAAATTTTAAAAGGTTTAGAAAACCTGATCTATAAGGAAAGGATTAAAAAACCAGGCATGTTTAGTCTTGACAAAAAAAAAAAAAAGTGAGGGGACATATGATAAGTCTTCAAATATGAAAATAGCTGTTGTAAGAAAGATAGTAATCAATTGTTTTCAATGTCCTCAGTAGGTAGGGCAAGTATTGGGCCTAATGTGCAGCAGAAGAAATTTAAGTTAGGTATTAGGAAAAATGTTCCAACTATAAGGTAGTTAAGCTCTGGAATAGACTTCCAAGGGAAGTTCTGGAATCCCTATCTTTGCAAATTATTAAGAATAGGTTAGGCCAGTGGTGAGCAACCTGCAGCCCACTAGGGTAATCTGCTAGCAGGTTGCAAGATATTTTGCTGACATTGATGATCCATAGGCACAAGCCTTTGCAGTTCCCAGTGGCTGCAGTTGGCCTTTTCCTGCCAATGGGAGCTGTGGGAAATGGCAGATCACAGAGACTTGTCAGAGATAGTCAAAGTTCACTTGGTCCTTCCTCAGCCCAGAGAACCTCAGCTCAGACGGGCTAGAGTAGAAGAGCTCTTGAGGTCCCTTTCAGCTCTACATTTCTCTGATTCTATGAACACGTTGCCCTCATCTTCTTTTTAACATTTATTTAATTTAGGCCAGTGACTCAGTCAGGAAGACCTATTACAGGGTTTGTGCGACCAAGCACACAAAGTGGACGACCAGGCACTATGGAACAGGCTATAAGAACTCCTAGAACTGCTCATACCGCTCGCCCAATTACTAGTGCTTCTGGAAGATATGTAAGACTAGGAACGGTAAGTGGCTTGGCTTTTTTACTGTCAAAGATGGCTTTCCCTTCTATGATATTGTAGTTGAGCTTAAAAAAGAAGAAAAAAATCAAACGTGGGGAAGTTAGCCACACTTTATATTTTAAAAATAATTTGAATAAAATGTTGTCCTATAATTTGAGCTATCAACCCTTACTTTTTAATTCCCCTGTGTTTAAATATGCATAAAATATATGTAAACAGAAAATTTCACAAAAGGAAAAATTTTGCAGTCCTGATTTTCACTCAGTGAAGTCCATGAAGAAAACTGGTAACTTAAACAGAAGCATGATGGGGCTCTCTCCAAGTTTTCAATTTTTTTTAACTGTTTAAGAGCAATAGTTTCTCTCTCATCACCAGTGAGTTACCAAGATTAAGTCTGACTAATTTGTATTGTGTTACAGAAACCACCAATAGTGTGTCTGGCTTGAAGGCATAATTTAAATTAGGGTTTTATGTAAGCAAAAATTATTGTTGAAATCCAACTATATATGCATATAAGCAATATTTCCCCAGTCTTGAGGGGGGAGGGAGAGAGCCTTTTTAAAATTCACATTCTCTCCCGCAGTTTAATTCATGTTTTTTCCATTGAAGGTTCTCGCCCTCCCCCCAGTCTGGATTCATTCTGTTTAACACTTTTTTTTCCAGGCCTCTATGCTCACAAATCCAGAGGGTCCTTTCATAAATTTGTCCAGATTGAATTTAGCAAAATATGCTCAAAAACCAAAGTTAGCAAAGGTATGTAACTATTTTGGTCAATGTTTTGTTATAAATATATTTTCAGTTGTTAATTTCTTTAGTCTCTCCTAAATACCTGAGGGTATGTCTACACTACAAAGTTAGTTCGAACTAACTTTCATAGGCGCTACACTAGCGCTCCGTTAGTTCGAATTTAATTTGAACTAACGGAGCGCTTAGTTCGAACTAGGTAATCCTCATTTCACGAGGATTAAGCCTAGTTCGAA